TCCGTCCTTCAGTTCCATGGGATTTCAGGGAGCTCAGGATGACTATGTAGGAGATGAACAGCATGGAAAAAATGAGCAAACACATGGCCCCGCTGTTGGCTGCCACTACCATTCCAAGCCTATAGGTGTTGCTGCAGGCAAGTTTCAGCAGTGGGAAGAGATCACACATGAAGTGGTCAATGACATTGGGACCACAGAAGGGCAAGTTGACTATGAAAAGAATCTGTACAGTGGCATGCAATAGCCCCCCAATCCAGGCCACCATCAGCAGGAGGCGGCAGAGCCCCTGTCGCATGATGGTCATGTAGTGCAGGGGCTTGCAGATGGCCACATAACGATCGTAGGCCATGACAATGAGGAGGATGATCTCTGATCCTCCCAGGAAGTGCTCCACAAAGAGCTGAGTTAAGCAGCTATGCAAGGAGATGGTTCTCCTCTGGTACAGCAGGTCAATGATCATTTTGGGGGTGGTGACAGAGGTGTAGAAGGCATCTATGAAGGACAAGTAAGTGAGAAAGAAGTACATGGGAGCCAAAAGTGTGGGGCTGAGGGAGATGGTAATGACAATGAGCAGATTGGCCAGCACGGTGAATAAGAAAATGAACAAAAAGACAATGAAGAGAACTTTCTGCAAGTATGGATTCTGTGTGAGACCCAAGAGAATAAATTCAGTCACGTTGTTGGGAGGCGTAAAGGTGATCCATTCAGGAAGTAACACTTTCCTAGGCCTAAGTTACCTACAAAGAGATAAAGAAAGATACATGTGAATCATGAAAGGATTGTAGTCTGAATTTCATAGTGTAGAAACAGGACAGTCACTGTAACTAGGGAGCATGTCCTTGGCACCCCTCACGTTATTAATTGTTTCAATTCTTTTTCACATCCTCCATATCACTTTCCAGCTCTTCAGACGCCTAGTACCTGTTACCTATAAAACATCTATAGGGCAATAATTGATGTATAATGTACTGAGAAAATAATGGGCTCTACACATGAGATCTGGATTCTCCTTCTGGTTCCAACTCTCAGATTCCAATTGCTACTGGTTCCAATTGCTAAGTCGGTTCAGCGCCCCATGCTGACAAGCCCTCCTCTATGTCTGTGAGCTTACCAATTGTAACTCTCAGATGTATCCCATAAGCTGTAAAGTGCTGCATACAGTAAGAGTTACTCCCTCTTCCAGAAGAATTTACATTTGAACTCACAGCTCTAACTGCAGAAAGAAAGATATGGGCAATAAATATCTATCCTAAGCAGGCAGTTTAGGAGAATGCAGGAGTGGTTGGAGACACACCCTCCCTGGTACCTGCCATCACATATATGTGATTCATGTGCGTTTCTCGCTATGCCTGCACAGTACCTGGCATCATATCTGCAGTGTCTGGCACCTACTGGTGATGAATAAATGGTTGGTGAATCGCCACACTTCCTGCGTCTCCATGTGTAAGATGACGCATGTTTTCCCAGGCCATAAACCTAAGAATTCAAGTGCTCCCATCCTCATGCTGTTTGTCATGACTCTCACTTTATGAGAAACATAAATAAACTTTTGCGAGGAAGCTGCATTCCACTTAACAGTTGCTGACACATTTTACAGAGTAAGTATGAAAATATTAATTGCCTCCAGGAAAGAGTATGTTACTGAGTTATTTTATTTTCAAGATAATTATATTGTTTGTTAATTAATTTTTACTCTTCAAAATTCTGTTCCACATACAATTTTAACACAGTCACATTACATAAATTTACAGCTTCAGTAGGCTGGGATAAAAAAAACTACTGGGTAGGTGTTCAACACATGAGGATCTATCAAGCAAAGGAAGCCCTATTTTCAAAGTTTCAAAAATAGAAATTTAAT